CAGCACCAATCTTCCTTTGCTTGCTTGATCTACCAGCCACAACCAGGACCACCCAGTTGACTCCGTAAATTCTGATGACGCCTAGAACGGAGTCTTCTCATAACATCGACACTTCGTTCATCAATTTTTGTATTTAAATGTCTTACTGTTATATGTAATCCAGTGTGTTTTGTTATAATCCTTATTTTTTTTTTCATTTTAGCTTCTCCCGGGCACGGTCAGGGTATCTTATATGGCGCTCTGGCCGTGAAAGTAGGTTTCCTCGGAGTACTCCCGTTTCTCCACACAGAAAAACGTTTTCCTTGAACCTAGGATTCTATGATCCAAACCCTGAAAAGGTGCCATTCCGCTTGATAAACAAAGTTGTAGTTATAGTTAAATTTTAACAATATCCTAGATATTCATCCTGTTTTCATTCGATACCACTTTAATTAACTATTGTTTTTGTACCAGTTATCCATGTTGATTATTTTTCAGGAACTTACTACCTTTGTCATAGCCTTATCCATGGTCTCTTCTGCCATTCATGAAATGCCATTTCCGCTATGAAAGAAAATCCAATGTTCGCAGTTTCAGCATATCCAGCTTAACAAACTCTCCTTTCTACTGTGTGATTTACTGCCGTCAGCTTCCGATACTAGCCACTTTCCCGGATGTATTGAAGCCCGTCATTAGACACATTCACTCCACACAAAGTCTTGCCTGTTAATCCTTAAATCACTTATTGATATCATTCACACTCTGCCAGTTAAACTTGATTAAGCCACTTAAAGTCTCTAACCACTAGCATTCAAGTAAAATTTAAACCAAACTTTCATGTGCGGGGTGAAGAGCAACAAATGTTTGTGAGTGTTTCTGGTTGTCTCTCAAGCCCAAACCAAAATACCTGCCGAGTTATTGTTGTTGTTGTCCTCGGACCTCCTGAAGGAAGTCTGCTGACCACCAGTGGCTCGTTGCTAGGTGAGAACCGCTGGACTAAAAGGTAAGAGGATAAATTACGGTCACAGAACAAAAGAAAAATTGAAAAGGTAAAAATTTAGAAATGAAAACAATGAAAGGTAAATAGAAATACAGGGTAAAAGAAACCGTATATACAGTAAAAGGATTTGTCGTTAAAACCGCACCACTATGGCACTGTATTCAACCGCTCAGTTTGTTTGTTTATTTAGTTATTGTAAAGCACAAAGTAACACAATGGGTTATTTATGTTATGTCCAATGCGTGTATCGAAACCTGATTTTAGCGTGATAAACCCATGAATTTACCATGGAGTTAAATAGGTTGAAGTGCTCGTGATGTCATATTACAGGGAACAGTTTTTTCCTTACGTGTAATCTTAAAAGTGAAGGTAACTGTTAATAATTACAATTATATTTGTCATAGGACATTACTAATATGCCTATTATATTTTTAACACTACATTTTCAATCTAATCCCTTATGTATTTCCAAGAATTTGTCATATCTAGCCGGCATGAAGAGCTCTGAATTGAGCAAAACGCTTCGTCAGCAAAGCATATCATAAATATAGTGTGGTTGGAATAACATTATTATACACTATTCTAAATGTGTACAATACACTTCTAATTTTCACGAAATCGGGTTGAAGAGATACGAGCAGTGTACAATGGTAATTTGTTTCCACCATTGTCTTATAAAACTTTTGTCTCCTTATCATTTTCCCACAAAATCAACAGGATCTCCACTAAAGGAAATACGACAAAAAATACAGCCATTTCCTGGTAGTTTCTAAGAAGAATTGCGTGGACCAACATTTACCGGATATGACCAAAAGTCTTGCAAACACTTATATTTTAGCTAGAAGAGGTGTATTCGAAAAGTTTCATGTCGCAAGCAAATTTTACTTATGAGGACAATATTACACAGTAAGATCACTATATTGTTTGCATTAAGTCAAGGATTTGTTTTTTTGTTTTGTTTGTAGTTAAGCACAAAGCTACACAAGGGGCTATCTGTGCTCTGCCCACCACGGGTTAAGTCAAGGAAAGACTATAATTACAATTTGTTTCTGGCTCAACAGGATATATCGCTGTATCATTAACATAGGCTTTCTAACGCACATTAAGTGTTTAATATGTCGGATTTTGTTGTTATAGAAGTTGCTGTAAATATTCCTGACTTTAGCTGTGTGTGTGTGTGTGAGGATTTTAATCGAGTTCTATTATGCTATAGTGTGCAAATCTCAGAAAAATTCGCAAAGATGTATATTTGAAAATAATAAATTATATCTGGCTTGTATGGTTGTTATTACTGTTAACTCCGTTTTAATGGATATCCTCCAGTGTGTGTTAAACCAAATGTTTCTCCAATTTCCTTTGTTTGCAGGTTTGAGGGTTCAAATGGGAGAAATGTCTATACTAATTAAGCAGGTTTCAGGGGTTCAGATGGGAGAAATGTCTATACTAATTAAGCAGGTTTGAGGGTTCAGATGGGAGAAATGTCTATACTAATTAAGCAGGTTTCGGGGTTCAGATGAGAGAAATGTCTATATTAATTAAGCAGGTTTGAGGGTTCAGATGGGAGAAATGTTTATACTAATTAAGCAGGTTTCGGGTTCAGATGGGAGAAATGTCTATATTAATTAAGCAGGTTTGAGGGTTCAGATGAAAGAAATGTCTATACTAATTTGAAATATAATGATGGACTGAAGTGAACTTCTATTTACTGCGCTGTTGAGACGTGGGGAAG